GTGTGTGTGTGTATATATATATATATATATATATATATATATATGTTATTGATCATATGGTATATGTGTTATGAAAATTCTATCAAAATGTTAGTAGTATTGGGACATTATGGATTTAAAATTATTCTAGCTGTGCCAATTTCACTTTGCTCTATGTTGTAGAACTGGATGGATATGTATCTTATAATCTGGGTATCTTTGATAGATGATACTTTTTTGTGGTGAGTGTATTTTTAGGCAAGTCTCTGAACTTTTGTACTTTTCATCTTTGTGATTTTATATATTTTGATATTTCTTTTTTTATATGCTTGAATGAAGAAAAGTTATGTGTTAACAAATAAACTAAAAATTTTTAAAGCAACTGTCTCACTTTTGTTTTAGCATTAGACATTTGGTGAGCTAGTATTAAACCAATTAGGTTTGGAGTTTGGCAGTTATCCAATAGTTATTTGAAGTCTTTGTAAATTGGTCATAATTCTCTGAAACAAAGATTTAATGACATGAAATAACAATGATAGGCTACATGTAGATGTGTTAAAAGTTTTCTAATTAATTGACTTTAATTATTTTTAACTTTGACTCATCATCACGACAACCTTAGTTTACTTCATATTTAGGTTTATGCAGAATGACAGGAAAAAATTTAAAATTACTATATGTTTGTGTATTTGATGTATATTTATGGGTATGTGTGTGTGTGTATATATATTAAGAAATAACTGCTTGTTTGATTAAGTGTGTAACTTTTAAAAACTGACTGATTAGTAACTTGTGAAGTGTTTTTATAATTTTTCAAAAACATCTAGGAAGACCTAGAAATATAAAATTTAAGTGTTTTGCATGAAAAAAAATCCATATGTATATAGATAAAAGTTTCATGTGAATACAGTATATGAATATTACTTTTTATTACTGTTTTTATGTTTCCATCAAAATTATCCATCTTTGTTTATATCTTTGTAACTTTTCTTTTTTCTAGTCATGTTCCTGTCTTTATTCAACTAAGTCAGCGTAGTCGCAGGTTTTTTCTTGGGATCTGTGAAGGAGGTGGTATACGCACTAATTTTGAAATGGTTCACTTAAATAAAGTACCACAACACTGTAACCATTTGGCTGGACTGTTGAGTGTGTTCAAAGGAAAACTTGTAAGATCCATTTCGGTTATGTTTGTACAAGATAAAATTGTATTCAAGGAATGTTCATAAGGACATTGGATTTTATGTTGACTGACCATATTAGATTACAACTAAAATTTGAATCAAGAATATGTAGATGTGGACAACTATGCATTACTTCTGAACTTGGTTCTTTGTTGAGTATAATGGATTTCCTTCATATTTATGTGAAGCTTCTTCTTACTGGTTTGTTATGATCAAAATTTGCAGTATTACAGAAAAAGCTAAATTTATCAATGTGTATCAGTCAAGAATATTTAAAAAGTGGTAGCTAAGAGCCCAGTTTTCACCACCTCCATCATAACTGGTTACCATGCTACCCTTATCTCACTCTTCCTGACAACTGATTATAAATATGTAGAGCTATTGCAGTAGCTCAGCATCCTTTCTGCAACTGAAGGATACTGTTGTAACAGAGATTTAGTCAATACCTGAAAAGTTCTTACATGCTGCATTATCCAATTATACCATTATTAGGATGAATGCAGTAATTGAAAATGATGGTGCCAATATTAAATATTTTTGTAGTAGTTTTCCTAGTTTCATTATGAGAAATTATTGGTATGTACTCCCCATGACTTCTTATGCATCTATGGATAATAATTTTAGTATATATTATATTGTTCACTCTACAGACTGTTGCAGGATCTCATACTAACTTTATTACCTTTCTGTGCTTTTAATCTTAAATACAGTGGCTCACAAAACTATTGTTTATTTTGCTAATGGTGTGAACATGCACTAAAATGACTCATTATCTATCTTTAAAAAAACTATTTTCTTGAAATTATGTATTGGAGTTTGAATTTATTATAAAATCAAGTAATGACAGATGGGAGCATGAATATAAGAATGAACAGTGTGTAAAACTAAACATAAGTGTGATAGACTGTCAAAGTTGATAGCAGGGAAAAACTAAATTGAGAATTGGATTAAAATAATTTACAGGGACTGCTGAGTATTGATAGAAGAATCTACAAGTAGCAAAATATGTACACTAGATTTTTTTATTTATGAAAATTAAGTCATGAATTTAGGCCCACTAACCCATTAACAGGAAATTGTAATAGAATGAGTTAACTTACAGTTGTACAGCATTCAACAATGAAAAACTTGCTTCGTCTTTTGTGTATGACTAGTTGTACAATTGGTAATTTTTCTCAGGTAGCCAAGCAGTGGAGACCAGTCAGAGCAGTGATTAAATTGATGATTTTTGTTTTTATGAAGTTAGAATTGTTTTGTATAGATGTTATTTAAATCACTAGAAAGCAGGATATATATATATATATTATTTTTTTTTTTTTCATTGATTTACTAACCATAGAAAAATTAAATGTGTTACCCCACAGTTACAGCTAATAAGTAGGACATTTTATTAATAATGTAAATATTAAGAAAATGCATTTATTATTATTTAAAAATAATTTTAAACATTTTATAACCATATTTATTATTAGAAAATTTTGCTTTAGAACATAATGGTTTTAAAGAAAAACACATATTGGTGTATAGTTCTAAATCAAATTATTTACCTGGAAAGGATTAGAATACACACCATGAATGAACCTGAAATGTATTAGTAAAGAAAATATATATATTATTAGAATAATTATTTGTTAATTTAGAAGCACATTTGTTACTGTAAGATCTGTTTGATATTGTAATATTAAGGAGTACACCTTTAATTTGGCAGAGTTGTCCACTTCAGTTGATACCACCAGTGGATGTAACAATAAGATTTACTTATGCACTTCATGAATGGTCTCCATATAGCTGGCCACAGTCACCACCTGGTAAGAAAATAATAAAATAAATTTTGCATGTGACTGACTAATGAAAGACACTTCATGTTAATGTATTTCCGCAAAACCTAAAAACCAACAGTAAAAAACAATTTTATCTTGGAAATACACAATTACTTGTTTTACTAAGAAAATGTTTGATGCAATCAGCTCTGTGGTGCTTTTAGTGTTTGAGCTCTCCCAAAATTTATTAATGTGAATCCTACTATGCACCATGAAGCTGTGCAGAAAATACACCAAGCATCTCTTGTTAATTTGAAAAGTTGGTGCTAATGGTATTATGTATCATGTTTTATAGATTTCTCAATCTTAGTAGAAAAGTAACTGGATATTTTTTATTATTTAAAAATATTTATGTAATAACACAATTTGATTTTAAAATTATGCAAATAAATATGATTTTGTTTAACATGTTTTGAAAAGGCCCTTGTAATAAATATTATTGCCTTCAGGAATATAGATAAATGAACATATTAATAAACATAGTTGAAAGATATTGTGAGGTTATTTAAGTCTTTCAAGCATCATTTAATAAATAGATTTCTGCTGCTGTTTATTTTTATTTACTTCAGTAAAGTTTTTTCTACTTTGTGAAAGATATAAGCGATATTACTGAGGACATCACTCCATCTTTACTTGGAAAATTGCCCTTTGGTGCTTTAGAAGACCCAATTGTGTAAGTGTAAAAGATTGAAATCATAACTTGATAGAGTAATAGAACCATGGTAATAAATACAAAATAATTTTTGTTTGTTTGTTTGTTTCTACTGATTACATTAAAAACATTCATGCCAAGGTATTCAATCATGTAGAAAAGATTTTGAATATATTTTATTGACTTTACAAAAATATAATTGTCAAAAATGTGCTATTAAAGTTTATAGTGAAATCTGAAAATATTGTTAAAAAGATAGTTAATAACTACAACTACAGTATCATTAATCACTAGTTACTTAGTTATTGAGTAAAGTGGTAAACGGAAGGATAAAAAAAAAAGATTATAGATTATCTTGCAAATAGTGATGCTTTATTCCAAATTATCTTTTCTTACAAATCTTAAAAAATCCACTTTTGTGTTTGTGATGGATTGTTTTATTTTTATGTTTTAAGTTAATAATGAAACTGATGTTGACAATGATGCATATACAAACTTGTTCTTGTTTCAAAAGCAACATGTTATATCTATTAACCATGAGGTATTTTTGCTTAAATGAGATAGTGTAAGACACGGGTAATTGGGAAAGGTTTGAGTAGCAGTTGTATGTCATGTGAATAGCTTTTTAACTCATTAGTAAATGGTAATTAACTACAACTATATACAGAGAGAGAGAGAGATAGTCATACATGTGTATATATATATATATATATATATACACACACACACACTCACATATAATATAGGAATACTGGAACATTTAATGATTATTTCTTTTCTTGCTATATTTCATTAATATGTTTGTTCCTATAACTGGAGACAAAGCATTTGATTCCAAATGATGCAGCACTAGTTACTGAAGTTTTTCCATTCTTTTAATTAATAAAGATGCAAGTAATGTCATGAATTAGACATGGTTTTTACATCAAATTGTAATAACTGTTTTCACTGCATGTCACTATTTACAAGTCCAAAATAAGAAGATTCACCAAAATTATCAGAGTTTGTAGCTATTTACCGAGTAAACTTGTAAAAACAAACAGTTTGTTCAGATAGTAGCCACATATTGCAACCATATAGGCCTCAGTTTATAAAAGGTGCAGTAGGTTAAAGAATAATATATTGCATTTCAAATTGAATTTAGAACACACTGTCATAATATCTATTAAGCTTGTGTAAAATGAGTTTTTAAGATATTTGACACAAAAATGAAAACTTCAAACTATATCAAAACTTTCTAATTTTAAAACCTTGTTTTTTTGTTAGAATTTTCCTATCCCAGAACATTGAATTCATATTGATTATATGCAACAGTAATAATGCTGTTTTAGCTTTTAAGCTACAGTAGAGAGCTTTGGTTTCTAATATTTTGTAGTGTTACAGTCAACAATTATAGTTCAATTCAATGTTATTGTAAAAAGTGATTAACTTAGAAAACTGATGCGTGTTATTTTATTCATAATGTTAGCAATTTATTGTACAACACTTCATAAAGTAAATTATGTTTATTTAATTCATAATGCTACTTTAGTATGAAATATAATACTTCTTGATATCAAAATAGATTATCTTTTATTTCAGTACATAGTGCTGGTTCATAAAATTATGAACTGTGATAAGAAGTATAGCCTTTCTTGATATCTATATAATATTTTTTATTTCTAATTGTGCAAAAGAATGAAAAACAGGTGGAGCATACATCTCTACTGTAAAATCGTTAAGTAAAAATTTTAAAATGAACAAAATAATTATCATTTTCTTTTACTTTAATTTTAAAAAAATATTTATTATTTTGGAAGATATACATTTTAAACAATCAGTAGTTCAAGGAAAAAAGATAATGTTTGTGTGTGTTTTTTAGCTGCTCATTATAATTTTGTTTTACTTTAAACTATAAATTCATTCTGCAAATTCTCTTTAATTCTTATTTGTTTCTGTGAATTAAACTACTTTACAATTTTTTGTTCCAGTGAACTTCTTTTGTTTACCACCTGGCCCTGTTTGTCAGAGGATATTGTTGTTGACAATGACATTCATAGGTGAGGCTACAAAGAGATCTTGAGTCAAATCAACTTGTATCTCCATAATGATATATTCATATAAGAATGTTGTTGCTTCAGAAAAAGTAAAGGTAGTAATACACATTTTGGATTTACTACATTGCTTCAGTTCTTAGGTAACAGTATTTCAACAAGCATCTGATTCACATTTGTTACAGATGTAATTTTCTCTGTTTGTATAGTTAACATGATCACTTATTTCTTTGATAGAATTCATGTGTCATGTGATTATTGATAGTCCACTTTCTTCTATTGTACAATTAACATGTAGTATTTAAAGCTTTTGTGATATATTTCAATCTGTACTTGCTAAATGAGGGACCGTGCTAATTATACCAGTAGGGGGCGCCAGTAGCTATAAAGTCCTTGTCTTTAGTCAGATACCCGGATGTTTATATTCTTCATGTTTTTTGTCTAGCCATGTTATCGTGCTTTCTGTTTTCTTCATAAATATATTAGCTCAAAAATGCCTTAAACTACTTGTGTGCCAGGATGTTCTAAGAGATGTGGTCATTTGTGGCCTTCAAATCTGGAATTACCGTATTTTTCGGTGTATAAGACGCACTTTTTTACCCCAAAATCTGATGTCAAAATCTGCTTGCATCCTATACACCAAAGGTATGAATAATATATATGTATACACACAAGTCATGTGTAAATATATTT